ATGTCCTAGGTGAGCCTCATGTGGCCGTAGTTTGAGGATGCCTGATTTGGAGTCTGTATATTATGCCAATTAGTGGCTAGGTTTCCTTCCCTATTCACTTAACCAGTCTAAAGCTGGGGGTCCTTCTTATAATATAAGATTATTAATATTTTCTACTTTTCTGGGATTGATGTGAGGATCAGGTAAGTAACAAATGTGATAACACTATTTATTTATTTATTTATTTGGAGACAGCCTCAAGCTATCCCCCTGGGTAGAGTGCCATGGCATCACAGCTCACAGCAACCTCCAACTCCTGGGCTCAAGCGAGTCTCCTGCCTCCCAAGTAGCTGGGACTACAGGCGCCTGCCACAATGCCTGGCTATTTTTTTTTGGTTGCAGCCATCATTGTTGTTTTGGTGGGCTCAGGCTGGATTCGAACCCACCACATTAGGTGTATGTGGCTGGTGCCTTAGCCATTTGAGCCACAGGCGCCGAGCCTGATAAGACTTTATTAAGTGTAAAGCACTCTACAAAAATAAGGATTTATTACTGTCACTTCTTTGTCTCACCTCTCCATTTTCTTGCCCTGAAAGTCTTTGAACATTCATTCATTTACTCAACAACTAATATTAACTACCTAGAATATATACAGTACTATGCTAGGTATGGTAGAAGGAGACATAAAGGCAAAAATCACAGCTTCTGTCTTCAGGAAGGCAGACTCAGTTAACCACAGTACAAGTCAGGCTATAATGGGCACCAGGGGAGTAGTTAAACAGTTAGATATGGAACCATGAGGACAGGAAAGATTAATGCTAGTAGAGTTAAGAGAGTTAAAGGAATTTCCACAGAAGCCCTGAATATCATATAGGGCTTTAATTAGTTCACTTATTTTAAAAAATATTTATTGAGCAAATACTATGTGCCAGCAACTGGGATATTCATTATGGATACAGAAATGAATGGAACAGACTTTTGTCTTCATGAAAAACAGGAGAGGTGGACAAATGATTATTTAATTACAATAATGCTAAATTCTAGAAGGGAAGTACGAGGAAGGATGAGAACATATTATAGAGAGACATAACCTAGGTGGGGAAGTGAAGAAATATATCCTTTGGAAGTGACATTCAAGCTGAGATCAAGATTAGAGATCAGAGAGGAGGTATTGAGGCAAAGGTGGTGAAGACAAATATTCTAGTAGCAGAAATAGAACATGTCAAGGCCCCATGGAAGGAACTTAGAAGGGAGCTGAAGAAGGTTATAACTGCAACACAGGGAGCGAGGTGGAGAGTAGCATGAGACAGGACAGATGCGGGCAGGTACCAGATTGTGCAGGGCTGGGGAGCTGCCTTAATGATTTGACTTTACCTTAAGAGAAGTAAAAAGCATTGGAAGGTTTTAAGCATGTGGTGGCATGATCAGATATGTGGTTTTTTGTTTGGTTGGTTTTTTTTAGAGACGGAGTCTTACTTTGTCGCCCTCAGTAGAGTGCTGTGGCATCACAGCTCCCAGCTCTCAGGCTTAGGTGATTCTCTTGCCTCAGCCTTCCGAGTAGCTGGGACTACAGGCACCCACCACAACACCCGGCTATTTTTTTGTTGCAGTTTGGCCGGGCCTGGGTTTGAACCCACCACCCTTGGTATATGGGGCTGGCACCCTACTCACTGAGCCACAGGTGCTGCCCCCAGATCTGTGTTTTTAAAAGACTATTTTGTAAAGAATAAATGGGTGAAGCAAGAGCAGACTCAGGGGAGGCCAGATTGGAAGCTGCTATGAGAAGAGCCAGGTCAGAGAAGATGATGACTTGGTTATGATGGAAGTGGAAATGAAAGGAAGAAGTTGAAAGAGCTGAGCAATATTTAGCAAGTGAAGTTGAGAGGATTTGGTGTTTGAATGAATATATCAGGTGTGAGGGGAGTGCTATTTATACAGCTAGGGACCAGTTTTGAGGAGCAAGTTTGGAGGGAAGAATAATGAGTTTAGTGTGAACAAGCAAATTTCAGATGCCTAGAGAGCCATCCAAGTGGTTATATCATTAGAGAATTGGGTGTATAGGTTTGGAACTCAGAAGAGAAGTACAGATGAGAGGTGCAAATTTAAAAATTATATACACAATAATTAAAGCCATGAGCTGTGGTGACCCTAGAGGATGACACTGGAAGAAAAGAGGGCTTAGGATTGTTAACCCTAATGTTGGGTCTGAACGGGAACAACTGGTGAAGGAGACTGAACTTAACCAACTAGAAGCTCATAGTTGCCGTAGGAGGTAATCCAGAAGAGTGTAGAGTCATGGAAGCCACGGAAGCAAGAGCTTCATAAAGAACAAAGTAGGGCTCGGCGCCTGTGGCTCAAGCGGCTAAGGCGCCAGCCACATACACCTAAGGTGGCGGGTTCGAATCCCCAGCCCGGGCCC